CTGGAGTGCAGTGGTGCCATCTTGGGTCACTGAAGCCTCTGCCTCCTCGACTCAAGCAATTCTCATGCCTCAGCCTTCTGAGTAGCTGGAATTACAGGTGCATGCTACCATGCCTGGCTAATTTTTCTATTTTCCATAGATACAGAGTTTCATCATTTTGGCCAGGCTGGTCTCTAAGTCCTTATCTCAACTGATCCACCCATCTCAGCCTCCCAAAGTACTGGGATTACAGGCATGAGCCACTGAGTCCAGCCACCTTTAAAACTTAAATAGTATTACATGATCTTAAATAATAGAAGTAGGCATCAAAACCAACTCTCCTTGACTCTTAACCTCTATGCTATGATGTCTGATTTTATCATTAGATTTTTGGTTGCTCTGCTGTTTTCAAGTCTTTAAAACGTATTAACTTATTTTATAAGCATCAATCAACACAAAGCTACTTTTAATATGTATAACATCTTTTTTAATAAAAAATAGCATTTTGCATTATTTCCTTGCGCTCCAAGGTTATACCGCATCCTGAACCTGGATCCAAGATCCGAACTGTGGAAAAATCTTAATGTGGACTCACAGAGTACTAAAATCTTTTTCTCTTGCCTATGATGTTCTTGAAGTCTAGAAAATTCTTTATCTTACTTTAACCAAGATTTTCCTACATATTTCTCTGTTTCACCTTCAATATGTGAACAGCAAGACTTCTTTTTCCTCACATTGTAGGTTATTTCTTTTATTTTACTGCCACAATTTACTATGCCTTTTGTGACACTAATCACAGTTGTGTTTACTTTTTACACAACTGTCTCCCTTAAAAGTCTATAAATTCCATGAGGTTAATCAGTGTGTTTTTGTCAATGCTTTGGTTACAGCGGACACTCAAGAAATATTTATTGGGGCCGGGCGCGGTGGCTCAAGCCTGTAATCCCAGCACTTTGGGAGGCCGAGGTGGGTGGATCACGAGGTCAAGAGATCGAGACCATCCTGGTCAACATGGTGAAACCCCGTCTCTACTAAAAATACAAAAAAAATTAGCTGGGCATGGTGGTGCGTGCCTGTAATCCCAGCTACTCAGGAGGCTGAGGCAGGAGAATTGCCTGAACCCAGGAGGCGGAGGTTGCGGTGAGCCGAGATCGTGCCATTGCACTCCAGCCTGGGTAACATGAGTGAAACTCCGTCTCAAAAAAAAAAAAAAAAAAAAAGAAATATTTATTGGATCAATAAAAGAATGAATGCATCTTAAAGTTAAAAATGCCTTTCTTTTCTTGAGGGTAGTTACCAATTTTACCAAAAAAAGTACTCAATATAATGGAATGTTTTAGTATTCACCATGTATTTTTACCTACTTAAAATGCATTTTCCAATAAAGTTTCAGTACTTTATTTCTCTAGTTATTTCCAGTACACATTAAAAAATACTGGTTAGTTTGATGTGTCTACTAATTTTCAGAGAATCACTTTTACTATCATACTTGCCAGTCTTTTGCAGTGTTGTGAGATTAAACCACTTTATTCCTCAAAACCAAAATGAATACAACTCAAGCATAGTCAAATAAATGCCCAGAACTAATTGACTGGATTCAGAAAAGGTTAGAAACTTTATTTCAATATTTCATATCAGTCTCTGATATTATTATGAACACAGCATATGACATATTAGTCAAAATTAGGTATATAATTTAATACTGTTTAGGACGCACAATTGAAATAATTTTCCATTTGTACCACTATTCTTCCTATTAATCAGTAAACAGTATATGTGAATTTTTGAAGTGTATGTTAATTCTAATTTTGCAACTTGGAATATATTGCATGTGTCTCATAAATGTTTTCAATAATATAGTGTAGAGGAGGAAGGATAAAGTAACAGTAAGTTATTTAAATAAATGATCAGGCACTTAGAAAATGTCAATCTATTATTTGATTGTTTTGTAGTCACTCTATTGTGTATATTGAAATTGGAGTTTTACTTTGATAGTCAGCTGACAATAGCCAAATTAAAATGCACAGAAGAGTCAGGGATTACTTTGGATTGACACATAAAGATACTTAATTCTTTTTTTTTTTCTTTCTATCTTTACATACTTATAAATTGGTACCAAATCTTTATTAGCAAAGAAAATGAAGTAAACATTGTGTCATGCCAAAAAGAGTATTTTCCCCATAATAAAGGAAAATGGAACACATATGACAGATAAGAAATATGTAGAACCTGCCACATTAACACCAGTAAGAAACCTCAATTAAAAGACTCACTTTGCAATGGCCCATTAATTATAGAACAATTAAATACTACATAAAAATTAAACCTACTTACATATTAGAAATAAATTTCAGTTCACCCACAGATCCAACACTCTTTCAAATGGACAGAAAAAAAATGTAAACTAAAATGGCTAGAAAAAAAATGTATTAACTGATTTAGGAAAAAACATTTCCTATTAAACCTTAAATACCACTGCTTAAAAGGTATCTATGGAGGCCGGGTGTGGTGGCTCACGCCTATAATCCCAGCACTTTGGGAAGCCGAGAAGGGCGGATCACTAGGTCAAGAGAGGGAGATCATCCTGGCCAACATGGTGAAACCCCATCTCTGGTAAAAACACAAAAATTAGTTGGGCATGGCGGCACACGCCTGTAATCCCACCTACTCAGGAGGCTGAAGCAGGAGAATAGGGGAGACAGAGGTTGCAGTAGCCGAGATCGCAACACTGCACTCCAGCCTAGGTGACAGAAAGAGACTCTGTCTCAAAGAAAAAAAAAAAAAAAAAAACTTATCTATGGAATTCTCATGTTTCCTTGCAAAAGCAGAAATCCATAGTCCAAAGGTCCTCTTTAAGAAGGAGCCACAGAGGCCAGGCCTGGTGTCTCATGCCTGTAATCCCAGCACTTTGGGAGGCCAAGGACAGTGGATTACTTGAGGTCAGGAGTTCAAGACCAGCCTGGCCAACAATGTAAAACCCCATCTCTACAAAAATGCCAAAAAATTGTAATCCCAGCAAGTTGGGAGGCCGAGGCAGGCAGATCATGAGGTCAGGAGTTCAAGAGCAGCCTGACCAAGTGGTAAAACCCTATCTCTACTAAAAATACAAAAAAATTAGCCAGGCATGGTAGCACCACTGCACTCCAGCCTGGGTGACAGCAGAGCAAGACTCTGTCCCAAATTAAAAAAAAAAAAAAAAAAAAAAAGGGGGCTGGGCCTGGTGGCTTATGCCTGTAATCCCAGCACTTTGGGAGGATGAGGTGGGCAGGGCAGATCACAAGGTCAGGATTTTGAAACCAGCCGGACCAACATGATGAAACCCTGTCTCTACTAAAAACACACAAAAAAATTAACCGGGCATGGTGGCACATGCCTGTAATCCCAGCTACTCAGGAATCTGAGTCAGAAGAATTGGTTAAATCCAAGAGGTGGAGGTTGCAATGAGCCAAGACTCCAGCCTCGGTGACAGAGGGAGACTCCATCTCAAAAAAAAAAAAAAAAAAAAGAAAGAAAAGAAAAAAGAATGAGCCATTGATAAATGCAATATGTTTATAACTTTGCATGATAACTCATTCATAAGTTTTTGAGCATTATACAATAATTAATTTGCACCAGGCTTTCAAAATTACTTACATTTACAGGATTTCTTTCGAGTGGGAGTTTTCACATGATTTAAATTTTTTAGACAGCATCTTGCTTTCACTCAGGCTGGAGTACAGTGGTGCAATCTCTGCTCACTGCAACCTCAGCCTCCCAAGCTCAAGCAATCCTCCCACCTCGGCCTCCTGAGCAGCTGGAACCAGAGGCAAGCACCTACGTCCCTGGCTAACTTTTGTAATTTTTGTATAGATGGGGTTTTGCCGTGTTGCCAGGCTGGTCTTGAATAGCTGGGCTCAAGCAATCCATCCTGCCCCAACATCTCAAAGTGCTGGAATTACAGGCAAGAGCCACTGTGCACAGCCCATGTGATTTTTAATAATTGTTAAAATAGAAAAGTTTCTTGCATTTTCCAAACTACTGACATTTCCATCCGGGATGTATTCTTTGATTCACCATCTCCAGTGTGCACTCACATGTGTCTCTGAATGGAGATGAGAGCAATGAGAGCTTCGGCATATTCTATACATTTCTGCAATTCTTCTCCAGTATGAGCCCTTTTATGGCTTTTAATAGAACTGGGGTATCTGAGGCCTTTACTACATTCTTTGGACTTTTTTCCAGTGAGTCTTTTCATGTCTTTGGAAACTAAATGCATTCTCATATTCCTTATATTAATAGGATTTCTCTCCTGTATAAATAATTTCTTTCTTTCTCTCTCTCTCCTTTTTTTTTTTTTTAAGAGACGTGGTTTCGCTATGTTGCCCAGTCTGGAGTGCAGTGGCTATTCAGAGGCAGGATCCCACTACTGATCAACACGGGAGTTTTGACCTGCTCAGTTTCTGACCTGGGCCAGTTCACCCCTCCGAAGGCAACCTGGTGGTCTCCCGCTCCCGGAAGGTCACCATATTGATGCCGAACGTAGTGCAGACACCTGATCGGCATAGCATAGCTCACTATAGCCCAGAAGTCCTGGACTCAAGTGATCCTCCCACCTCAGCCTCCCGAGTTGCTGGGACTACAGGCACGCGCCACCGCACCCGGCTTTTTTTTTTTTTTTTTTTTTTTTTTTGAGATAGTGTCTTACTCTGTCACCCAGGCTGGAGTATAGTGGTGCGATCTTAGCTCACTTACTGCAGCCTCTACCACCCAGGTTCATGCGATCCTCCTGCCTCAGCTTTCTGATTAGCTGGAACTACAGGCATCCACCACCGCACCAAGTTAGCTTTTTTTTTTTTTTTTTTTTTTTTTTTTTTTTTTTTTTT